TGGTGAATGCCACAAATTCTCCTAAATCACTCGTACGCACAACTTAAGAACAAATCTGTGCGTACGAACGGTTCTTGCATGAGGCCCAATGTGTCGATGCACAGAAAGTTGAAGTTTCGCAAAATTTCACAGAAAAGTAAAAACAACATAAACGGTTGCTTTAATCTTCCACCACTGCTCAAGCAGAAATAATGTTATTTATTGTTTTTGCTCTTTTAAATGATGCAATAGTTGGATTTCTGTTTTATTTTTAGGTTCAAACATTATGTTTGGAATATTCTTGCAAATAATCAAAGTCTCAGGATTATTATTTTTTTAAAGATGTTTAAAATTACAAAAAAGAACCAAAACAAAAAGTTTCTGTAATAAATATAGTCAGTGAAATGCTGTCATTCAGTACAAATATCTACATATTTGGATTTAAGCTTGAGTTCTTTTGTGTTTAACAATCCTAGTTCTAAGTTTTCATGCCACGGGAGTCTTCAAACAGTCGAGGTGTCACTTTCAGACTTTAAATCTTCAGACCATCACTATCCTTTTACAAAAGCTCCGATGAAAAGCAAAGAAATCCGAGGAGAGGCTCCAGGAAGGACGTGTGAGGCCCTAAAGACTTCTCCCTCTTCACGTGTCTGATATGGTGGGTGTAGTTTGCCACCTCTAATCCCCGAAGATTTCCTGTTAGACTAAAATGTCCTCACTGAAAGAGAGGAAAGTGGTCGCCGATCGCCGCGAAGATAGAAGAAGAAGAAACATAAACACGCTCAGTGAAGCAGAAAGAGACGCGTCTTCCTGTTATTCACAGCAACACAAAGTCAAGTCAGCATTTACGCAGGAGTTTCTCCAACTTCCTCCTTTAACACCCCACCCCCTCACCCACCCAACCTCATCTGGGTATTTACACACACATGTTGTCAGTACATGTTTGTGCTTCTGTGTGTGCGTGAGCCGTGAAACAGAAGAACAGTGAGTCATAGTTCAGATCTGAACTGGTGAACTGGACTCACTTCCTGTCTGAGCTCTGTCTCTTTATGACCCCCCCCCCCCCACACACACACACACACACACACACACAGCCTGCTGTTTCCTTAACGTTCACTAGATCCAAAACACACACACATGTTGAAACACACAGATGTATGTCCGTTGTTTTCAGGTCCCTCAGTGGGATAAAGTGTTCTTTGGACCCGAGCTAAACACAAATCAGCACAAGAGCCCATTCCAGTCTAAATAAAGAAAGATAAATTTAAAGATTTTAATGACTTTTTTTTTTGTCTCTGTTACATAATTATTCATAAATCAGCTGTAGATAGTAAAATATTGTACAGAACTGTGCAAATGTTTCCAGTTCTTCCTCATGTTTTGACACTTTGTAATCTTTATATGTTCTTTGTTATTGATAGGCTTTCTAAAGAGCTTTCAAAGTTTTTTTARCTCCAGTTTTTGCACTTGACCTTGACAAGACAGTAAAATGTACCATGTTGTTTAAAYAAAATTAAAAAAGTTCAGATCTAAATCAGTAGATGAACCAGATGAACCGTATCTGCAGGTCATGTCTTTAAAAAACAGGACCAGATCCAGCAAAGACCTGATCCAGGAGCACCATTCCTCAGTGTGCTTGTTTCTGTCTGTCAAACTTTGTTGTTTTTGCTTCTTTTTTTATAGATTTAGAACCAAAAAATGGGAATAGATTGTGTTTCTGTGACAAACAACTGATGAAGTGTCTAAAAATTAGATTTCCAACAGATTTGATGCTGTATTTTATGTTAGATGTCGACAGGAGTTCATCCCCTGAGTTTAGATTAGTAGATCATAGGTCAGAGTTATTTGGGTTAGCAACAAAAATAAACATTATTCAGAAAATTACAAGAAAATAATTGATAAAAGCAGCCAAAGCCCAAAGAAAAACTTTGAAAGAAAAACCTGAAGAAATAAAAATATTGGAAGACTTCGGCTCATTGGAAACAAACTATAAAAAAAAATGAGGGATGTGCTGGACTGTGTTTCTGTTTTATGTGTAAATCATAGTGGATCTGATCTTGGCTCATATAAATAGTTCATAACAAGTAACACTAACAGAAATATATTGCAACGTGAATAATCTGTTGTAAAAATTGCATCTTCATTCAAAAATGGTCCTAAAACAAGCTTGAAATGAAACTAAAGACTTCAAAATAAAAGAGCAGATGTCTGCCTCGGCCTTGTCTATAAATCTGTTCTGACTCTTGGTTGAGGTGTACGGAACAAACGACTCTGGGTTTTAACCTTAGTTCTGAACTCTGGCCCCGTTCGAACCTTAAAACTGAAACCACGATTTTACCCCCAAACCAGACTTTGAAGGTGTATCAGAGCGAGGGTCGGTGATAAATTTAATCTGAGCTCCGGAGAAGTCACAGTTCAACTCACACCGACACCCCTCCCACACACGACCGAACAATAAATCAGCAGGTTTGGGTTTTTATTAAAAAAAAAAGTGTGTAATAAGTGTAAGAGTGGATCAACAAAGCTGCTTCTCCCCACGGAGCATGAAGGAGCTGATGTCTGAGTGCGAGCAACAAAAACATCCTTCTGATGCTGTCGTCCCTCAGGTCAGGCAGCGTGGATCTGGAGTCCCCCCTCACATCAGCTGACAGCTCTGCTCCCGTCAATCAGAGAGGGAGCTCCGAGTCGGGAAGTCAAAGTGAGTAGTCCCTCGAACAATCGGGGTCGCATCGGGTCTTTATTTCACAGCCAAACAAATCCCCAAACCTGTGCGTTTTTTTTTAACCAACGTCCTCCTCTTTGTTTCTCCCCCTCCAGGTCCCATCACCTTCACCCTCCCCGAGCAGGTCACCCAGAAGACCGACCACTTCCTGTTTTCCTACCCCTGGTTCCATGGGCCCATCTCCCGTGTCAAGGCGGCCCACCTGGTCCAGAGCTCCGGAGCCGAAGGTCACGGCGTGTTTCTGGTCCGACAGAGCGAGACACGAAGGGGGGATTACGTGCTCACGTTTAACTACCAGGGCAAGGCGAAGGTACTCCCGAACATCTGCTGCCGTCACATCAACCTCGCCTAGCAGAGAAATATTTAGTTTCCAAAAACAATCTGTATTCTAGGGGTGCACCGATAATCAGCCAGTCTTTTTGARCCCTGCCTCCTGTCCAGTTAAAACAAGTTTGTATTGTTTCAAGGCTGTTTAATGTTCTTCATTAAACTAAGATTGGAACACCTGACAGTGTCGGTTATAAAACAAATCAGGATCAGCCAAAATCAGAATGGGCATTTCAGGCTTTATAAAACTCTGTGATCGGCCAGCAAACTGCAATCGGTGCACCTCTAAACACAGAATAATCCAGACTCTTGATCAGATTAAATTCCTGTCAAAGAATTTCCCCGTCTGATTTATTAGTTGTTGTCGTCCTGCAGCACCTGCGCCTCTCTCTGACTGAATGGGGTCAGTGCAGGGTGCAGCACCTGCGCTTCCCCTCCGTCATGGACATGCTCAGCCATTTCCGCCTCTTCCCCATCCCGCTGGAGTGCGGAGCAGCCGGCGCCGTCACGCTGTCCAGCTTCGTAGTGGCGGGCTCAAGCCCCCCATCACAGGGTAATTTTTAAATGACTGCGTCACGTTATTAAAGGGATCCATGATTAGTTGTAACATTAGGCTTTATTTGATAAACATGTATTTTAACTGTAAAATAAAGACTGTAAAAATACTGTAGGCTGTTTATTTTTTATAATGTTTTTAAAAATATATTTCAACACGGACGGAGCCATTTTATTTACACACAAAGCATTCTGGGTAAATGATGACATGGATAGGTCCTCGGTGTGAGCGAGCTATATCCACCCTGAAGGTTAATCTTGGACAATATCTGATGATCGACTCTTTTAAATGAAACCAGAGAGCGTTGACAGAGAGGAGAAGGTAGAAATGACTCAGCCTGTAACTGAAAATATGGATGGAGGACAACAGAGCTGCTTCATGGAAGAAGAACCTTAGCTTAGCCTGTTAGCCTTCGCGCTAGCGCCACTATATTAAAACCCATTTATTTTACTTGCCTTTCAACACCAGCGGGATTTAGTTTTAAATTATATGTTTTTGTTTTTAAACCGTTTTTAATCACTTTTTTATTATGTTGTGTTTTAATGTACAGCACTTTGTATCAGCTGTGGTTGTTTTAAAGTGCTTTATAAATAAAGTTGGTATGGTATGGTATTGCCTTATATGTATTAGCTCGGCGCTAGCGCGACAAACATGCTAAACTGAGGTCCTCCATCCATATTTTCAGTTGCAGGCTGAGTCATTTTTGTGTTCCCCTCTCTGTCATGTGGATGGAGGACCTCAGTGACAAGAGGAGAATGTGTAGCGCTGAGCTAATACATATATGTGGTGATAGCATCAGGGCTAGCGCTAAGGCTAACAGGCTAAGCTGAGGTTCTTCTTCCATGAAGCAGCTCTGTTGTCCTCCATCCATATTTTCAGTTACAGGCTGAGTCATTTCTACCTTCTCCTCTCTGTCAACRCTCTCTGGTTTCATTTAAAAGAGCCGATCATCAGATATTGTCCAAGATTAACCTTCAGGGTGGATATAGCTCGCTAGCAGCCTCGTACCGAGGACCTATCCACGTCATCATTTACCCAGAGTGCTTTGTGTGTAAATAAAATGGCCCCATCCGTGTTAAAATATATATTTTTAAAATTTACAAAACCAAACATCCTTTTTACAGTCTTTATTTTACATTTAAATGTTTATCAAATAAAGTCTAATGAAACAACTAACCATGGATCCCTTTAAAATAAAGCAAAAGAACAGTAAAAGAACAGAAATGAACATTCCTCTCTCTGTTCCTCAGGTCAGCTCTCAGGCGCTCTCCTCGTCCCGTTCTCCCTCCACCGCTGGAGCTCAGAGCCCAGCCTGGCTCACTGCAGCCTGGCCCGCAGCTCCACCCAGCCGCCGGCGTTCCGCTCCACCTCCAGCAGCAGCACCACCACCTCCAGCCCCAGCTCCCACCCGGCCCGCACCGTCCCCGCTCCCGAACCCAGCCCGGCGGCGCCCCTCCCTCTGAGACGGAGCGAGTCGGTGGGGCGGAGGCCCCTGCTCCGGAACCCCCACGCCCCCATCATCCCCCAGCGGGACTCGGACTACGAGCTGGAGCCCGACCGCGGCCGCAAACGGGCCATAGACAACCAGTACATGTTGCTCTGATCCCCCACACGCCATCAGGGAGTCAGAACGTAAACCTGACGGAAACAGCGATGAACTCGAGGGATCAAAGCAGCCAGACCCTCACCACCTCCAGTGTCCACAGTGAATGTATTTTTGGAGTTTAACTAACATGTTGACTCTGAGAACTAACCTTGTGTCGAGGTTCTGAGACAGAGTCTCACATCAGTATTGTCCTCAAAAAAAAGTTTTGAATATTTCTGTTGTAGAGATTTTTATAGAGGTGCACTTGATGTTATTTCCTTGGCACTTAACCTGAACCGATGCCTGCAGAATCCTCCTCGCACAAAGTTCCCAGCATGGAGCAAACTTCCACCTTTTTACACAAACAGCACTCCTTTTAGAGTGTCATTCCATTATATTCTTCCTCATTGTGTATTATTATTATTATTATTATAATTATTATTATTATTATATACTGAAGTGCACATGGCTTTTAGTGCACTTTTTAAAAGTGTATTTTTCGATACACGGAAACTTTTTGTAGAAAAATCCAATGAAAAATCAAGTAAAAAGGAGCAAAGTTTGGTCCGTTCGGTCAGGAAGCTTTTCTAGAAACAGACTGCTCTCATCTTCCGCTAAAGCAACTTAAAATCACATTTCAGGATCAGATTTATTCAGTGGTGTCACCTGAAACTTCTGGACATGTCTGGTGTGGGGTTCTGAAGATCAGGGGAGGCCGCTTGATCGAACCGATCTGTCTTTAAGGTTGAAATTAGGTCTTTAAAAATGTCAAAGAATCCAAGAAAATGCCACAAAATCAATGAGAGCAGAGTGACGTGTTCAAAAATGCTCAAAGTTGAAAGTCGAGTAAAACACTCKTGTTTTTTTTTTCTAGTGTTTCTGAGAAAACAATCCAGAGTTATTTTATTATTTTTATACATATACTGACACAACTACATTTTGTATGGATTTTAACATATTTCTTATAACATTGACCTCAGAAATATCAAAATATACTTAATGTAAATAAAAATAATTTATTGTTCGCTCATTGGTTCACTCTGCTTTCTTGACTCGTGGTCAAAAAATAAATTGTTCTGACCCAGGACGTAAACTTGGATCAACAGAAAGCTCCACTTCCAGACCAAAACAAMAAAACTAGAGCAATTTTATATTTCAGCTGCCTCAGTTCTCAGCAGAAACGAAAGGTCAGAGACTTGAAGCTGTTTTTGAAATATTTGCCTTTTTAAATGTTGGTGTCGTTGCAGCTTCTGAAAACATTGACGATACAGTCTATTTTTCTCCACGACTTTGGGAGTTTAGCATCTGTTTCTAGCTTTACTTTTCACACTCAGCATTAAGTCTTTAAAGTTAGTTTTTATCGTCACAACAGCAGCTAAAACCAAAGAGGCTGTGAGAAATAATGGGATCACTATATWTTTTTTAATTTAGTCGCTTCGGAAGGTTTAATCCAAAGTGTCCCGAGATGTTTCACACCAGCGACACTCGTTTGTCCTCTGTGCCCTTTTCAACAAATAAAAGTGCCTTTAAAAAGGTTTAAAGCTGCACTGATCACAACAAACTCAGGTTGTTTTTATTCGATCGCTGAAAGGTGAACGTTTCTAGGAGGATGTCCAAAAATGAACCAAAGCCTCAAAATTTGTCTCATTTTTTTTGCACAAAAAGCATTTAAGATTCAAATCCACAGGTTAACCCAAACCTTTGAGTAAAAGTAAAAAAAATAATATTTTTATTTTAAATCTAAAGCTTAAGAACCAGGGTGACTGAAGATGTAGTGTGCAAAACGACGTCTGTCTTCTTTGCTTTAACACTAACTTTAATCCAAATTTTATTAGATTCAGTAAATTTGTGCTTAACATTTAGTTCTGACCTTTTTCTTTCTTCTTCAACTTTTGCAGTTTCCTGTAACTACAGCTTGATTTCCTCCATTTTAATCTGTTCTAATAAGAATAACCTTGTTACGATACTTTGACTAACATTTCTACAATGGTTTTGTCGTTCTGTCTGAAGTATCATTGTGGTCAAGACTGACATCTTAAGGGGAACAAAACAAGGATGTTTTTGGCAAAAGTACGGTTGGTCTTCCTGCTCTTTATGTTCCTGAACAGATCCCTCGTCACCTCTGTTTCATTTCTGCTAAAGCAGAGTAACGGTAAAAAATAACAAAAAAAATTTAATTAACGAAAAACTACTCTGAGCATCAGTCATTTTTCTTTCCTGGAAAATCACTGTGCCTTTGCCACAAAGCTGCTGTTGCTTTTCCCCTTTTTTTTTATTTTTTCAAAAGCTCAGGGTGTGATTGTGTAGTGCAATAAAAGAAAGATGCTTCACACCTTTCTGCAGATGTTAGGAACAATTTAGAGCTTGCAGCTGCTTGGAAAATAAAAGATAAAAATCACGACTCCTCAGAAATCATGCTGTGTTTAGAACCAAAGCTGCCTTTTTTTTTTCTTTTAAATGCCGGCAAGAATCGAGTTAAAGCTTCACCTCTGCTCCAGGAATAGCATCGCCGCCCCGCCTCCCGTCCCTCCGTGCGCTCATTTGAAAAATGTCCCGTTTATAAATGTAATGTGTTCTCGATACTGTTCATCCTGTTTGTTAACTTCGCACTGTAAAACATTCCAGTTCAACCCGACGTCCCGTCTTTCAGACGAACCACAACAGCTTCTGAAATGTTTCACTGGGTCAGCATCCCTTTCAGTTACAAGCATCTAAATTATACTAAATATATAACAACTGTATGTTTTGACTCTTTTTTTAAATAAACATATCCAAGAAAATGAAACCACAAGTCGTGTCTTATTGCTGGAGTTTTCAATGACAGCACACCGATCCAGTTTTTAAAACTTTTTTATTTTTAATTTTTTTTTGCTCATTTTTTGAAATTATTTATATTATCTACAAAGTAAAAGTTTTAACTTAAAAGTTACATGAGGGTCAGGTGAGACGTGGGATCTGATCACCTCAGCCATTAGAATTTCATAAATAACATTTCTCCTGTCCTCTTGGCTGCTGAAAGATTTAATTCTTGTATTTGCTTTTCACAGGAAGTTTCTGGTGGTGTTTTGATCTTTTTTTTTTTTTTTAATTTTTTAGTTTGGTTAGAAACTTGTCTTGGAGTCCGGAAACCAACGCAGCACATAGCAGCAGCGATAAACAGTAGGATTAATACTGTCTAAAAGTCGGAAGATTCTTTTTGTTTTCTCCGTAACAAGGTGCAGTCAGGACACAAGTTCCAGTTAAATCTTCACTCTCAGATTAGCAACTCTCCTTTCTTCTCTTTACTTGGCAAGCTGACTTCAAGTCGCAGTCTGGGACCCCTGATGTAGTTTGTGTGAGTGTGTGGTTGTGTGTGTGTGTGTGCAGGTGTGTGTGTGTGGTTTGTGTGTGTGAACAGGGTCGTAACAGAAAACATTTTCGGTTTAAAAACTCCTCCCTTGTTAAAACGTGTCACTGCATCAACCTGTTAACATTCACTTATTGCCTAGTCTGAGCGAGGAGGAGGGGGAGAAGGGAGGAAGAGAGGGGGGAGAAAAGCTGACGTGAAGCATGTGGGGTGAGGATGAGGAGGATAGGAGGATGAGGAGGAAGAGAGAGAGGAGAGGAAGGGCTCTCGTCCTCTTCGTCGCCTGCTTATGAAGGCTCTGGGGTGAGAAGCAGTGATGCGGAACGGGTCCCTCGGCTCGCTGGCGCCCTCTATCTACAGCTGCTGCTGGTGGTGAGGCTGCACTGCAGGGGCGAGACAGAACAAGGACAAACATTAATGATGACCTTCATCATGCTGAGAGGTAGAGCTGAATTGTGACAAATATCACGTTAGAATATGTTTTGTTCAAAGTTCAAAATATCTTTWAAAAAAAGGAATGAAAGTAAATACAAGGGATTTAAAAGTTGAATTTCAGCAATAAAATGAATCTGAACAAAAATGTGTCCTGGAAAAATAAAACTTGCTCCTAAATAGAGATGTTATGAGGCAGCAGTAAGAG